GTTTCTAGGCTGGGAATTCAAATTTGATAGTTATTAACATAAAAGTTACTCAGATCACTCAGGAAAAATATGCAAGTTGAGAATTGCCAAGAGAGATGGAGAAGTTCAAGGTAAAGGAGATAGAAGACTGAGAATGAAAAATTGTCCCCACGAGAGACTATTTAGAGAAATCCTTATGGGAAAATGTAGAGAGATGGATTTGAATATGAAATACAGGCAGTCCTTGGTTTACAAACAAGTTCTAGTCCTAACTCTGTCTTTAAACTGAATTTGTAATTAAGTTGGAACAGTCAGGTACAGTTCATATCTAACATCAGCAAGTCAAATGTTCATCTTAGCATTTAGTGTGGAGTCTACCACTCTATGCATAAAAATATTAAAGAAACACTTCCAGATAAAATAAAACATCTTTAACATAACGATACAGTAATAATAATAATGTTTTAATACACATCACTAAGTAGTGCCCTTTCGTTATTGCAAACCATCATATGTACCTCCAGTTTTTAATGTAATAGGCTTTATGGGGCCTGGTTCATAACTAAGGCTTATTTGTAACTTGGATATTTGTAGCCTGGGAACAACCTGTACAATCACTTTAAGATTGGCAGAAAGAAGGTAAGGGTGGTGTTATCTTTTGAATTGTTTCCCCTCAAAATATTTGTGGGAATCTTAACTGCTATACTTATGAATATCCTGGTGGCACAGTAGTTAAGCACTAAACTGCTAACCAAAATGTTGGCAGTTTGAACCTACCAGCCACTTCACAGGAGAAAGATGTAACAGTCTGCTTCCATGAAGATTTACGGCCTTGGAAACTTTATGGAACAGTTCTACTCTGTCTTATAGGGTCACTATGAGTTGGAATTCACGAGTCAGCAATAGAATACCTATGGATGTAATCCTGTTTGAGAATAGAGTTTCTTTGCTATGTTAATGAGACCATATCAGTATAGGGTGTGTCCTAAACATTTGATTTCTGTGTTATAAAAAGAGAAGATTACACACAGAAGAAAACACATATGAGTGAAGATAAATTCTATCTCATATTGGTGAAGGCAGATGAGTCTACAAACACAAGAGTTCTAAAAATTGCTAGCTACCAGAAGCTGAATAAACAATGAATGACCTCTCCCTAGAGACACACACTGAATTTGGACTTATAGAACTGTGAGTGCATAGATTCCTGTTCTTTAAAGCCACATACTTGTGGTATTTTTGTTACAGCAACACTAGGAAACTAAGACAGATGGGTATAGTTGTCCATATGTTTTTGGGGAGGGAAGTGAAATGCTCATTTGGAGTAAGTGATAAAAGTTTGGAATGTTCACTGAGGAAAATAAGAAGCAGAGTAATCAAGAAGTAGAAAAATTAATGGTTTATATTGAGGGCTCACTTAAAAGCAGAATCATGATGTTGTATGTACTGGTATGTTTAAAATGATGGGGAAGGATTAGGAAACTTCCTTGAGGGTCTCAGGTAATCATCTAGTGGGAGACAAAAGTTCAACTCTCTTTCACAGTTGCAAAAGGCTGTCATCTACTTTATCAACTATTAGAGATTATTTATCTTTGATTTTAAAAGATCATTGGTAAATATTTGGTGTTTTTTATGCCTACTGAACAAGATTATAGCTACTATTATGTATTAGGGCCTAAACCATATTTACTGTCAGGCATGATCTCTTGGAGATAATTCAGCAAAGTAGAAAGATGCTATTTTTTAGAGAATGAAGTAAAGATTTTTCATTCATTTTATTACCCACCTAGCTAAGTATGGGAGCTCTGGTAGCGTAGTGCCTAAGGCACTTGACTGCTAACCAGAAGGCTGGCAGTTCAAACCCACCAGCCACTCCTCAGAAGGAAGGTTGGGCAGTCTACTTCCACTGTGATACTGCCTCGGAAACCCAAGGAGGTGTTGCTATGAATTGGGGTCGACTGGACGGCACATAACAACAACAACAGCTAAGTATAGCCAAAGGAAGCTGACAGTACAGTACTATAAACATTACTCCCAATAACTTCATAAACCAAAAAAACCAAACTCACTGCCATTGAGTCAATCGTGACTTGTAGCGACCCCTCCTTGAGTTTCCGAGGCAACATCTCTTTGGAAGTAGATTGCCCAGTCTTCCTTCCGAGGAATGGCTGGTGGGTTTGAACCACCAGCCTTCTGGTTAGCAGTCAAGTGCCTTAGGCACTATACCACCAGAGCTCCTTCATAGGACTTTATATTTCCCTCAAATATTCAATGTCATTCTTGCTGTTATAACCCCTTCTAAATCTTACAGTATGTTCTTACAAGGTACGTTCTTTGTAAATATTCTCGGCTAGGAAGACTGGGCAATCTACTTCCATAGTGATACTGCCTTGGAAACCCAAGGAGGGGTCGCTATGAGTCGGGTCCGACTCGATGGCAAATAACAACAACAACAAAACAATCTGTAAATTGTCTAGGGACAGCGTAGTGGAAGGGACAGATAGAAAAGTTACCTGAGTCACACAGATCTTTGTACACATACTAAAATTTCCTATAAGCAAGTTTTTAAAAATTTAACTTTACAGTAAGGAAAGGAAAATTTCTTTGAAAGTAGGGCAAAATTTGTATCTAATAAATGAAGTTTTTGAAAGGACAAAACACATTGTTAGCTAGAATACACTGAAGCATAAACTCTTGCAGAAGCTATTTAAAGTACAATCTTTCTTGGCCAGCCATTTCACAGTACGTGCCAAAAAATGCATATACTTTGCCCTCAAAAACAAAAAAAACCTCATTGCCATTGAGTTGATTATAACTCATGGAGACCTCCTTTGGGTCTCCAAAGTGGTAAATCTTTACGGAAGTAGGTGGTCTCATCTTCCTTCCATGCAGCAGATGGTGGGTTTGAACCACAAACTTTCTGGTTAGCAGTCAAATGCCTTAGGCACTGCATCACCAGAGCTCCTTATACTTTGACCTAGTATCTCTTATTCTAAGAATTTATTATTAAGAATTATTCAAAGAAATTCAGAAAATAACAAATGCTGGCGAGGTTGTGGAGAGATTGGGACTCTCATACACTGCTGGTGGGACTGTAAAATGGTACAACCATTGTGGAAAG